TATATATATACACACACACACACACACACACACACACACACACACACACACATACACACTACTAAAAGGACTATAAAGCTGGGCTTGGGGGTGCATAGCTGCGATCCCAGCACCCTAGAAAATGAGGCAGAAGGATCAGAACCTGGGCTGGCTGGGTAACCGCCGCAGGTGGCTCGTTGCTGTAATCCCAGCACTCTGGAAGGGCAATGCGGTTCAAGCCCTGCCTGGGAAATGAGGAACTTCACTAGACACTGTCTAAAAATAAGAGCAATAAAGAAAGCCAGGGGTGGGGCTCAATGTCATGGTGCTCACTGCAACCTCAAGTTCTGCCAACAAAATATAAGGAGCAAGAAATTATCCTGGCTGAAGACCTGGAGCTTACACACACAGAGGTGAATCTCAGTCTGGATTTGCAGAATGGAGCCATAACGTCAGAGCAATGGCAGAAGCACAGGTCCTTTGCTGCTGCCTATCTGGACCCCGCCTCAGTGATGCAGAGCTGTGACTGCCCTGAGCTATAAACTGGAAGCGCTACCTTCCAGCGGGACCCATCCCCACTTCTCCTGCAACTCGCCAATCACTGCAAAACCCTGGGAGTGGCTGCGACGCACCCAAAACCTCTTGACGTGCCACGTGATGATGTGCCATCCTGGCTGACACAGCTGCTCCCTTTCTGAACATTCTGCCTCCATATTGACATGGAGAGGTTCCCTTAGGGCGCACCATCTCATTAAAATCCCCTCTGTAACAGGAGCCAAGAGATGGAGGAAGGGAGAGGTAGGGGGCGGAGAGGAGTTCAGATGTATTGCGAAAGTGTACCAGGCTCCCACTGTGAATGGGATCCTTGTGAATGGCAAACACATGCTAGTAAGGAAATGAAGGCAAATAAATACAAGACCCTTTATAGGACCTGACACACCAGAAACAGACAAAGACCCGAAACACACATGCATCGCCACACACTCCATCGTCACAGATTTCTTCTCAGCAATCACAACTGTTTCACAGCAAAGTTTCAAAACTCTAGGTTTCGCAAGACACTGGCAGCTCCTTAGGAACAAGGACTTAGACATGCACGAGCTCTGGAGCCCTTTTGATGAAAATTGATCTTGCTGTATCCAAGAAATCAATCAAATGGCCCTTTTAGAGCTCTGAATTCTTTGAGAATTTAGCTGCATTTTTACTTATCAATAGACATGCATGTACTTAATTTCCCCATCATCACTTTTTAAATATGAAATACAGAAGCAAGCATATATGAAAGTCTAAATGGTTCGGTGTGTTTCATACGCTAGGGATATCTCCTGGCATGGGTGACATACACGCTTATGTGGTATCTGTATCTCAGAACCTTCTGGATGTTCCACATTAGGCTCACTGTTGGTTCAAGAAGCTGTGGGGCCCCAGCAGGGCAAGATGGGGCCTGCCCAGTTACTGTTGTGATACTGATGGAGATAAAGGGGAGCAAAGCTCTTCAGTAACTAAGTGCCTCAGGGCACTACCACAAGCAGCTCCTTGCTTGCTCTTGCAAGGGCAGAAAGGCAACCCTAGTGTTGACACCGCTACAACTGTAGTCTCCCAGGTTTTTGACAAACACAATTACTTCACCTTTCCAAGAGATGACTGAGAAGAACTCTCAGCAACAGACATCATTATGAGAGAGGATCTGACCCTTTCACACAGTCTCCTTGAATGTGTAAATGCCCAAACACAAGTTCAAATGCAAAATGCACAGGCCGTGCCCAATAAAATAATAAACTGAGGGCCGGGGAGATGGCTCAGTAGAATAAGTGCTTCCCTGGCAAGCGCAAAGGCCTGAGTTCAATTCCCAGTTCTGCAAAAAATAAAATAAAATAATAAACTGAGATCAAATAGCACATGATTCACCAGAGTTTTAAGTGAATGAATCTGTGTCCAATAGCCTAGGCCAACTCGGTTACTGAAGTGCTCTGTGGGTGTGCACACTCCAAAATGCACAAATATGTGCAGGTAAAGAAGATACTTAAAAATGGCTACCGATATTCTGTTCACAGAAACGACCGTAAAAATGCTTGACTATCCAACATTATCGATGGACTCAAAAATAAGTTCCATCAAAATAAAGACGTCGGGGGCCTGCCCCTTAGCTCAGTTCTTTAAGTGGCTGCTTCAACAAAGCAGTCAGGCTCAGGTTGCTGTGGTTCGATCCCCACAACACAAGACAGCCAGTCATGCCTTGAAGGCATTTGGAGAAAAAAAAAAAAAAAACACTTCTGCCATTTTTGGGGGCCTGCCCCTTAGATTTGCATTTTATTGTACCTTTCAGATTTCATTGATTCTCTCTGGTCCTTACACTAGCAAGAAAATGTGATGTTGGCACATGTGGCTCTCATTTATTTCACATATGAGCATGGTCTCTAGTTCCATCCATCTACCTATAAAAGCCTTGAGTTTATCTTTTTTTTTTTTTTTAGAGGCCAGCTCAGGCTGCCCTGAGGGCAGGGTTGGCATAACATGTGGTGAAAGGTATCGAACCCTGGTCCCTGTGTTTGCCTAAGCTTGCCTAAGCAGGAGCTTTAGACTGCTAAGATATCTCACCAGGCCAAGTTTATCTTTTGTATAGCTGAGTAATACTCCAATCTGTAAAAATGTCACACATTTTTAACCATTCCTCAGTTGATGGGTTTGAGGTTGTTTTCAATATTTAGCTGTGAAAAATTACACTACTATTAAAACAGAGAAGAGCTCACATGAAAGAGACTGTAAATCATAATTTTTTGAAGAACCTGCACGCTGATTTCTATAGTGGTCGTACCAGTCTACACTTCCACCAATAGTGGAGAAGAGTTCCTTTTTCCCACAGTCTCTCCAGCTTTTGTCATTAGTTGACTTCTTGATGACAGCCATTCTTTCTCGGGTGAGAAGCAATCTCAGTGTTGTTTTAATGGAAATTTCTCAAATGATCAATGCTATTCAACATTTTTTCATATATTTGTCATTTGCATTTCTCCAAAATTAGACCCATGTCTATTACCATGCATTAAGCTATAAAAAATATGGATCAAGCATTTAAATATTAAAACAGATACACTAAATCTACTGGAGGAAAAAGTGAGTAAGAATCTTGAAGACACAGGGGTAGCTAGAGAATTCATAAACAAAAGCCAAATGACACAAGATGGACTTCAAAGAAACAACAAATGGGATCTCCTCTTTTCAAAAAGTTACTGCACATCAAAAGAAATCACCAACAGAGTAAAAAGAAAACTCACAAATTAGGAAAAAATTGTAGCTGACTGTCGCTCAGACAAAGAATCTTTAAAATGAAGGCCCAAAATTCTGACTCAATACATTAATGAGCATCTGAGATGAAAAGGAGATTTTATTCTTACATTTCACTTAGTACAGTACAATGAAATTTTACATTACATACATGCGCATGTGTATAAATATATTTATTTAAAATAATTCCAACAAATTGGAAACGAATGATAGAAAAGTATGAGCAGTGCATGCCAACAAAGGGTGGCATAGGACTGGTAAAAACAAAACCTTAGTATCACACTTTGTTTGAGTGAATTCCAGGAACAATCTTGCACTGGGAACAATGTGCAATTACCTCACCATCATGCACATACCTCATAAGTAATGCCAAATTCTTAAACTTTGCTAACGCACAGCCAATGAATTGGCACAAAACAATTCATTAAGCATGAAAGAAAGTCCAAAACAAATGACTATAAATGACAAATCACGGTTCAGTAAGGATTCCTCTTATTTAAACTTCAAAGCCAGGTAAACCTACGTGTGCAAAGGGAGAGAAGACGTACCTTGGCCAAGGGTTTCCCCTCACGGCAGTTGATCCCACCAACAAAGACCATGTTGGGCATCACAGGCTTGGGATAGTCAAAAACAAAGTCACCACGGATCAGCCAGATCGATGTGTGGCTGAAGAGGTCATATGCTGTCACGGGTGTCTGGAGAATTTCAGAGGCCATTTCTAAGGCTTTTGTGAAAAGATAACGGCAAAACACATGCTCCTCCAAGTGGAAGATATGGTTCCAAACTCTCTCGCTGAAACTCATGGCATCTGAGAAGCCCAAGAGAATTCTGGGAACGTAAGAGAGAGGAGCAGGGCACTGCGCTCCTTCTTCTAGATAATGGCAAAAGATTCCTCTGGCAAAAACAATAGATGGAAGAGAAAAATACTTGGCAACAACAAGACCACAGCTATCAAAAGGATCCAGAAATACTGCATCGAAAGAACTCTCCTTTAGGTACTGCACTAATTTCTCGTCCTTAAACAAACTCCTACAATGTGAAAAACATAATTCAAAAAATTTAATACTTGAACCTTCTGATGTAAACAAAATATTGTTCTCTGGATTTTTCCACTGGGCATCAGCAAACTCTTTGAAAGTGCGGTCCAAATCTTCCAAGGTATAAGATGTTGAATAAGTCTTCACTGTGAAATTCAGTGATTGTCCCAGTTGCCAACTCACCTCTGGCATGACCATGACCACCTTGTGGCCTCTCTGGACGAGTTTCTCCACCACTGAGCGCATGGTGAACCAGTGGCTCCCGTCCATGGGCACCACCAGCAGCCTGCCTGCCTGGGCAAGGCCGGATGCCAGCAGCAGACACAGGCACAGAGGGAGGGGGGTGGGC